CCCCCGGCAGGCGGATTCTCCGTATCCACCGACTTGGTTCAAGCCTGTGCCGGATATTCGCCAACAACATCCTTGATGTGAGAAGACAGTAAATAGGGCTTCCCTGGTAGTGGCTATACACTCGTGGCCATATATGAGAGCATTTGGAGAGAGTGAGAGTTAACTCTCTCCACTTTCAGCCCATGCTAAAGCCTTTGGGGATCATGTTCGTGTACGTAATGATTGTTTTGCTTTTTTTGCTGTATGAGTAACTGAACATTTTTCTATTGGTTGTAGTTCATTTTCACCGTAGAATTCCATTTACATTGTTTTGTAGGTATGTATAATAGTCTTTCTTTGATATCCTAAGCAACAATGCTTGCATGTTCGGGATGCGGTTTTCCCCCTCGAAATGCAAAATGTTACTTCAAGACTGGGTTGCATCGGTACCTGAACTAGTGATAGGTAGTGAAGCAGTCAGGCGTGTAGACCGCTTCACTTACCTCGGGAGTCTCATCAGTGCTGATGGCCTGGTGGCTGACGAAATCTCAGCACAGATACAGAAAGCTCGATTGGCTTTTGCCAACTTGTGTCACTTATGGCGTATACGGGATATCCGTTTGCTGACCAAAGGACGAGTGTACTGCGCATCAGTTCGCTCCGTCCTACGATACAAGTGTGAAACATGGACGGTAATAGCTGATGATATTCATATGTTATTAGTATTCGATCATAGGTGTTCCTGAAGCACTGCTCGTACATCCTGGGACTATCGAGTAAGCACTGCAGTTGTTGGGAATAGCTACTAGGTAAGGATGGTAAATCAATAGATGAAGTATTGAAACTTCATCATTTGAGGTGGTTGGGACATGTTTGACTAATGCCTAAGCACCGTAGTTGCAGACTACTGCTTAGAGTCCGCTGGACGATAGTAACCAGTGGTTAGAACTTTTGAATGACATGGCTCAAAACTGTTTGCAATTACATAAGTGCATCCACTCGTTGTGTTCTTTGAAATCCTAATCTTCTGAATTCGTCATCACCCCTACCTTTCTCCTAGACTTATCTTACTGGATTATACTTCTTGAATAATATCTTGGAACCCTAATCTTCTCTATTACCATTAATACCTCTACTATCTCTACCACTAAGGGATTCAATCGACTGCTGCATCTCTGTGTGGTAATGTGAACTGATGTACGTATGTACGAAGTTCTACATTGTAACTGACTAATTGACTGACTTTCTTTAATAGGTATTCAATTAATTCTTCCTAGACATATTACAAAGTGGAATTTCGTCATACTTCAACTTGTTCATTAGGTGGAAAAAATTTAATTGGCTTGTCTATATCACTTCTCCTATTAATATCCCTAGGTCAATTCGAGTTAGACATTAACACCGTTGGATTCCGGCCCAGTGGACTGATGGTTAAGCGTTCGTGCACAATACCGAAGGTCCTGGGTTTGAATCCTGCGAGGTGCAGGAGTCGTGGATGCGCAATGTTGATGAGTCCCATACCAGGACGAAACAGTCTTCTTTCAGTGCTTCCAGGTTTCTAATGGTAGTCTAACAATGATTGATTAATGATTTCAAATGTGTAAAAAAACACAAATCTCCAAAACTCTAACCGGTAGTATTTTTTTTACCTGATATCGCTTTTGGCACAAGAACTGAGCAATAATTATGTAACTTCTATAAGAGTTCTACTTCAAAGTTGGATTGATCAAGTATGAGTATGGACAAGAAAGCATGGACAATATGCTATTTATAGTAACTGTTTCATAGCTCCGCGTAGCTCCTCCTTTCTGAATAGTCACAGTATGACCGAAGAAACAATTTGATGATGCACTTACTAGAGATATCGATTTCGTTTATAAGCAGTGATGTTTAGTTGTTGTTTGCTAATCTGTAAACAAAAAGGGATCAACTGTTTTATTATGGCATTCTTTTCCTAGTTAATTAACACTTTCGATTTCTGTCAGTGGAACAGTGTGTGAGCAAGTGATTTGGTCCAGTGATGATGACTCACACTCACCTGTTAATACTACTTTCCCTGAAGATAACGATGATGATGATGATACCCTGAATGGCGGAGATCTTTTTTCTAAAATGACCAATGAGACCCAGTAATCGTCGGAGCAGAAACAAACCATCTTCTATTATTCCAGCAACTTGTCAAATAGTTTTACCCATGTTACACTTACTACTAAAGATATCGATTTTATTTATAATGTTGGATAGTAGATGTTCAGTCCCTCAGCAAACTTTTTGGTGATCAGCACTCTCTTTTCAGTACACGTTATCGCTGATTAAAACTGGTCATGAATGAGTTCGATCACTTCATGACACATGCTGGCATTGTCAACTGTGAATGCGAACGGTTCAAACTCAAATGTCTCACCGATGACCAATTCAAATCCCTCATATTCATATGTAGTCTTCAATCACCTAAATTCTCTGACATCAGAACTTGGTTGCTTAACCGCCTTGAATAAAACCCAACACTGACACTCGATGCGATCACTGATGAGTACCGACGCATCAGCAACTTGCAGCGTGACAACACTTCGGTGCAATCTGGGGAACAGGTTGGTTCCGAAGTTCATGTTGTTCACTGACAGTTACGTTATCATAATAAAGGTGCCCATGCTACACACAGTTCATCGCATTCCACTATTGTGTCCGTCACTTAGTCGATAAATGCGAGCGAGACTGTTACCACCGTCCAGGTAGGCTACCTTTATCGGAAAACGGCAAAACAGAAGTCTTGTTAAGAGTAGAAAGTATATTCTACAAAAACCCAGCAATCACAGTACAATCAAGCACTCAACTCTCGTTTATTTATACATCATAGAAACGTCCTTGGGACAGTTAAGAAAATAGCACACTGAAATACACAGCAGCCAATCACAGACATGGATTTTCCTGCTGGGAAATGAAATCTCAAGTTCAACTGATCAGTCCATGCTGGCAAACGTGAAAACCGAAATAAGGCATTTATCAAGCGAATTTTGGGGATCTAACATCCCCAACATCCACCTCAGTTCAAATGTCGAAAACGAATTTGTTGGGGACGTCAGATCCCCAGAACTCGCTTGATAAGTGCTTTATCTTGAATTTCACGTTTGCCAGCATGGGCTGATCAGTTGAACTTGAGATTTCATTTCCCAGCAGGAAAATCCATGTCTGTGATTGGCTGCTGTGTATTTCAGTGTGCTATTTTCGTAACTGTCCGAAGGACAGTATGAGTAAATGAGGGTTGTGTGCTTCATTGTATGGTGTGATTGCTGGGTGTTTGTAGAATATACTTTCTACGCTTACCAAGACTTCTGTTTTACAGTTTTGGGATTCAAGGTAGCCTATCTGGACGCTGATTATTAATTGTCTCCTTCGAGTTTATCGACTAAAGTGAACTCGTAATAGTTTCAAGCGTACACCTAGTGACGAACGTAACAATAAGGAGTTTTAAATATGATTCCATTGCCCTGTTTATTCTTCTTGTTTTTTCGGTTTTGTTAGTGAATAAATTGGTTTAATTATGATGATTATGATTATCGCTGATTCGTTTGTTTTTCGTTTAGTTAATACTTCTGGTTGTGTCAGTGGAACAGTGTCAGCAAGTGACAGTCTCTGGTCCAATGATACTGCTGATTCAGCTGTGAATACTACTTTTCCTGAAGATAACGACGATGATGATGATGCTGTCGATGGTGCCGACGATCTTTGTTCCAATAATCAGCCAGATCCAGCAATCATTAATAACAACAACACTCCTGCTTCAATTATTCCAGCAACTTGTCAAATATTTTTACATGTAGCTGGTTTAATTGATGTTAAAATGGAACAGAAACGTTGTGAACATCGTTTAATGGAATTGAAAGATTCCATTGACAGTTTGGAGAGAAAACGTCAAAATCCAACTTATTCTCAAAAAGTACCAATGAAAACACAATTAATGGATACAAAAAAGGTGATTGATTGTTTTCTAAATTAAAATGCTCACAGATTGATTTGTGTACCCCCGACCGAAGCTCTGCCTCCTTGACGTGGTGGTCGGTCTTGTCTATCGTGATGACCCAACCGAGCTATATTGGCTGGAACATATGTTCCTGAAGGTTGTGCCATGCCAGGTAGGTCGATTGGAGAAAGATGAGACTAAAAGCAGTTACCCAAGGTCTGAGGGCGAAGTCGTACTGCTGACTGCAAAGGGGTGTGACAGCAGTAAATTGTTTCCCTCGGACAACCAGCATCTACAGCGATGCTGCCTTCTCACAAGGAAGGAAGGAAGAGTTAGAAAAGGTCGACCCTAAAAATGTCACATCTCACCCTACCTCATGGACTTCCGTCTCCTTGGGTAAGGGTGCTCACTAACGGCCTTCAAGAGTGGAGCTAACACTCAAAAAACTTTCCATAAAAAGGCGGTGCGTGACCGGCCTCAAGCAGTTGTCCCTTGGACTCTGCGATCACGCTCCCAGGTCTTCAAGACCAACACTAATCCACCTTCCTTTTCAGGTTCCTCAAGAAACAACCTTCCACGTTGTGTGCAGCCGGGAAGTGACAACCGCCCTCATACCCGTAACAGCACGCGAGACCAAATTGGTCGAAATCAAATCCTTCCTACACCCCCTAGTAGTACCTCTCTTATCTCCACGACTAACCCTTCTCACATTCATTTATCACAGTGCACAGCTAATGCAAACGATGCGAGTTCGCGAAACGTCGTTGCTGGTCTCCTTAAACCCAGTTCTAGACTACATGTTGGAGCATTTAATGTACGGACATTGTGTCAAATAGGGTAACAGGCATAATTAGCTAGGACTTTAGAATCTCGTGCCATCAATGTGTGCGATACGTTGCAGCTGACTGACTGATTTGTGCACCACTGAATACCAGTCATAGTCAACATGTTAGGGTTTACTTTAACAATCTGTATTACTCTTAATTGCAATATCACAACAGCGCCGCATACCTACACCTTTTAACCCCCTCTGAAGGCGTATGTCATCTACTGAGCATCTCCAACCAACTTTGTCTTGCGCTCTCTCCTTCGCAGCTGTTCCCATATGTTGTTATTCGCTCGTTTTATATCTGCCGCCAAATTTTGGTCTTTCTCTTTTCCTTTGACCTTGAACAGCTCAAGTTAGGGCTTGTCTCGTGTGTTCTATTCATCTCGAAATGCTCTCATATAACCACTGATAGGAAATCCTACTGTTAAGCCTGCACGTAAACACGTCAACTTGATATACTTAAACTATTGCGAGTTTACCTAGTCAGAAAACGAGAGCAAGGATCGAGGATCCGGCGACACGACATGCTACTCCAATCCGATTATTCCAAACCCCATATTGAGTAAAATTAAGAAGCCATGATATGAAATAGAACCTGTATTCTACAAGCATCCAGAAAGCACGAGGTCCGAGTCCAGAAGAGAATCAGGATCCCGGACTAGGGATCCGGGTCCTGGTCGTGGTCATAAAACGTCAAACGCCACGACAACGCTTCGCTTATATCAATACACACCGACAATTATGAACACGCATATGATTGGAACAATGTGGAAATATTGGGTAGGGGGAGGACAAAGAACACTAGAGAATTTCTAGAAGCTTGGCACTCAAGTCAGTCAGCAATCAACAAACACATCGACATTGACCCAGTTTATCAACCAATCAGAAAAATCATAGGTGACACAGGATCAAGAAACAGATCAAAAGGGGGATGCAATCAAAAGGTGTAAACAACGACAGGTTTAAGGTCAACAACAACCAATCAAGATCGAGGTTAGCATAACAAGCTACAGTTCAAACGTGGAGAAATTCGAATGCTTCACTTCTTCTATCTGAAGTTTGTGCTGATGATGTTGTTCAGAAGAACAATGAAAGCTTCACAACCAAAACAACCAGCTCAGAGAACCAAACACCACCACCACAATGCGTATATATACATTTTGATCGAAGAGTAAACAGCATCAAGGCCTATGACATTGACAGTTAAGACGACCATAAAATTGACCAGTAGGAATTAACCAATAGGAATTGACTAATAATTCTCTTTGGATATTGAATGAATATCCTAACACCTACTCATGGTAGTGATATCCGACACTTAAACCGTGTTAGTGTTACGAATGATTCACTTAGGGCACTTGCAAAACCCTTATTCCCCAAACCAATGGTGTACATGGGATCTATGATCCTGAAGGAACAAATGATGTATGAACCTATTGTTGGTCACTGATTACCATGGGACTGCATCCCCTAACTTTGCTCCACTATCCTTTGAATATGACTTGTATGCCAAAGGCGCTTGGATAGCGGCCTCTTAAGAGAACTACTCTCTTCCGTCTGGGCAATCGAGCAATATCTCTAGATCGATACATAAACTCATTGATTGATGTGGCTCAGAGGAGTATCTAGATATCCCTTCATTCCAAATTATTGGATCCTGCATTGATTGATTATAATTGATAATGTGAATCTCGTTCGGTTACATGATGTGAGTATTTTTATTGCCATCCGAAGTTATCGGTGGGTTGCTATTGCAATATGTACATGCGTACGCAGTTTTACGTTGTAACTGACCGACTGCAACATTCTAGATTTGGTAAATTATGTAACTTGTCAAAAAATTCCCCAAAAGTAACATCAATCTATGATTTTTCTGGTGTAGCGGAGAGGTTGAAGGTTAAGTACTAGCTGCGAGATTAGAGGGTCTTAGGTTCGAACCCTGACGCATTAGCAGATATTGCTAGTCTTCGATCATCGATGTCTCCGAAGCATTGTTCGTGTATCATGGGACAACCGTATAAGCAATTCTGTCGTTAGGAAACGAGTTCTAGGTAAGGATGGGAAATCAATGGATGAAGTAGTGAAACATCATCAGTTGAGGTGGTTGGGACATGTGTTACGAATGCGCAACCACCGACTGCCGCGACGAGCTATGTTTTGTGGTGTAGGAGTAGGTTGGAAGAAAGTTATGGGCGGCCAAACCAAAACATGGCACAAATCCATGAAGTCACTGACAAGTGGACTGAGTCATGTTGGTAAGTGCAGACTAACTGGTTGGGATATGCGAGACAATAGAAACGGATTGTTAGAGAGCTTGAACGATATGGCTCAAAATCGTTTGCAATGGCACAGGTGCATCCATTCTTTATGCTCTCTCAAATCCTAATCCTCTGGATTCTTCATCACCTTTATCGTTTTCTTTATTTCACTAGATTATACTTTCTCAATAATATCTTCGAACAGTAAACTTTCCGATTACTTCTAATACTTTTACTAACTCTACTAATATGGGATTGGAATTGACAACTGTGTCTCTGTGCTAATATGGTATGGCAACTTGAACTGATATATGTACGTACGAAGTTCTACGTTGTGGCTGACTGACAACGATCTTGCTCACTCACTACAAAAATTTAGAGTATATTTTCGATAGTCAAGCCTGGCCACCACGTCAAGGTAGCAGCTACGATTGGGTGGAGTTCATAGTAAGAGGCCTTGACCATGGAAGTTCAAACGTGTTGAAGTGACACAATTACCCAACGAAGACAATGGATGATGGTTGCGCAGTGTTATTGATCGATTAAAGTTAAACATCAACACCGTCTCATGCCAACTCAGTGGTCTAGAAGACAAGTCTCCGTGTACGAAACCGGAGGTGCTGGGTTCGATTCCCACACACAGGAGTTGTGACTGTGTACTGCTGATGAGTTCCATACTAAGATGAAGCAGCCGTACAGTGCTTCAAGATTTCTAATCCTAATCTAATATTGATCGGTTCATGATCACAATGAAACTCAACAATCTCTACAAACTTATACTGACACTAACATAGCATTTTTACCTTTTCAATGTCACTTGCATGGAGTTATGTTTTGGTAGACATTGTTTATCGAATGTACACACAATCACACACACATTCAAACTAAAATAATGTGTGTCTGTGTGGGTGTGATTGTTGATAATTTGTTTTTCTTGATTATTCTCATCTCATTCTCTTTTAGTTGTATGAATTAAACTCGGAATTGGAAGGATTGAAAGAGGTGATTTCCAATTTGAATGATATGAAACCAATTGATGATGTTGATCATTCTACACTGATGACATCAACACCTGGTGAAATATTATTCGACGCTTTGTGTGATTACCTTGGTGTACAACCACAACAACAACAACAGCAGTGTCCGTCAACTTTAGTTGATCTAGAAGCCAAGATTGAAAGTATTCTTAGCAGTGAATTAAAAGGAGGCGATCAGGTAATCATGTGTTGTTGTTTTTATTTTCTCCTTTTGTTTGTAATTAATTCATGTATCTGTCTGTAGTATTTTGTCACCTATGGTGCTGGCGAGATATCCGTTTGCTAATCAAAGGACAAATGTACTGCGCAGCAGTTCGCTCTGTCCTACTATACGGATGCGAAACATGGCCGGTGAGAGTAGAAGACATTCGTAGATTGCTTGTGTTCGATCATAGGTGTCTCCGAAGCATTGCTCGTATATCCTAGGACAGCCAAGTGGGCAATGCTGTCGTTAGGAAACGAGTTCTAGGTAAGGATGGCAGATCGATAGATGAAATGGTGAAACTTCATCAGTTGAGGTGGTTCAGTCAGTTGCAACGTAGAACTTCGTACGTATGTACATAAGTTCATGTTGCCATACCACATTATTAGCACAGAGACGCAAATGTCAAATCAAATCCCATAGTGATAAAGATAGTAGAGGTATTAATGTTATAATAAAGAAGACTAGGGTTTCAGATATTATTCAAAAAAATATAATTCAGTGAGATAAGGTTAGAAAGACAAACGTAGAGGTGCTGGCTAATCCAGAAGATTAGGATTTGAGAGAGCTCAAAGAGTGGATGCACCTGCGCCATTGCAAACGATTTTGAGCCATGTCATTCATGGTCTCTAACCATTGGTGACTTTTGTCTCGCGGACCCCAACTAGGTAGTAGCCTACATCTACCAACATGACTCAGTCCACTTGTCAGTGACTTCATGGATTTCTGCCATGTTTTGGTCTGGCCGCCCCTAGCTTTCTTCCAACCTATTCCTACACCACAAAACATAGCTCGTCGGCGCAGTCGGTGGTTAGGCATACGTAACCACATGTTGAGGTGGTTAGAACT